TGACGGTGCCGTAATCCTACTTGACTAACATGAGCTGAGTGACGTAGCAGTGTTTCGCGGGCAGAAGAAAAATTGTTGGACAAAACAGCGGGCGCTCCCTCCGTCGCAACCGTCTACCGTTTTTCTTGGGAGAAGATGGCCAGCGCGTTGTCTGCGCGGCGCGTCAGGCCGCACGGGCTACGAGACCAAGCGAGCACTTCCGATAATTAAACTGCCGTGTTTGTGCCATCCACTGCGGTAGCTACCGAACAGGGCTGGTTAAACGGTCCTAATACCTCGCCTCGATTGTTCTAACAACTTCACCTCTATTTATTCTCATGAGTTTACCGATGCCACGATCGAACGGAAATGCACCGGTCTGGAAACCACGGAATTCGTTTGGAAATTCAACCGGCGCGTGGAACCCGGCGAAGATCCGACTTAGCAAGAACGCGTTTCGCCGCACCGCGCCGCGATATAATACCGTTACCGCAATTTTCAAACGGCCGAATCGATAATAGAACGATTAAACCCTCCTTTTGTCGAGCGATTAGATATCGGAAGCCAGTTCCTCCTTTTGTGCTTTTTCTTTGATCTTAAGCTGAAAGTGGTTTCTTTCGTACTCCTCCTAATGGTCTACCGTAATTTAATTACACTCTTTACTTTCGTGATGATCACCGAAGGCGTTCGAAATCGGTCAGTCGGTTTTTAACGATAAACATTAAATACAATCATCCGTTTTAAAAACTATTCAAATAATTAAAAATATATCGTAATCCGATTAAGTGTTTAAATGATAATTATGACTCATATTTATCAATCATTGAATGTAATAAAAAAAAAACTCTACCAATGTGGAGAGGAACTTTGATACTGCAATTCATATGGATTCTTTCGGCTCGTGGCACATTCCGGTGGGATAAAAAATGGGACGAGGGTACCTACCGATCAGGCGTAACGGGGATCCAGTAAAAACTTTTTCTACGAAAACTGGGTGGAAGTTATTATTTAACAAAACTGACCAGTTGCGGGTTCAGCGGTGGGCAATCGACGGAGGCAACGTTCGTCGTTGCACGGCCCTCGGTGAACGAGGGCGGCGGTGCCTTTCGAAACTTAACTCAGCGAATCGTGTTATTCAAATTCGTTTCCCTGCTCTGGCCGCTCTATTTTTCGACGTGTTTCAACGGTATCGCCTCAAGCAGAGCTGAAACCGTAGCAAGCCTGTTTGCACGGAAATCGTTTCCCTTCCTTTTTCGAATCGCGGAGCCTGCTACGAAAACAAACGACTCTTTGCCTCGCATTATTCCGTCTAGCTATTAAAACCGCCGGTAATTGCACGGGGTGAACGGATAAAGAAAGAAGCTGGATTGGAAACGGGAAAGGGGCGAGAGAGAAAGGGAGGAACACGGATAAAGGGCAAAGGGGTAATTTAACGAAACGAGGGTAAGAAGGGGGTTGAAATATGGACAGAATCGAAAGAGAGGAAAAAATTAATTCATTAATAGAATGCGTTCGTCCATTATGTCGCCGATCGCATGGTCGCCGTGCGATGCCGGGGGCGAAGCGGTGAACGTTGCGCGGCAGCCGCTGTTTACACGCACGCAGACTCCGAACGTTTCATTTTCTGAGGATTAAGTAACCACCGTGGTCGTTACCTACATGCGCGGTCCGCTATTAACGGTTTAATTAGCGTAAGTTTTCATTTGTAGGATTACAACGCAGCAGTTCCACGGGCGGGGGGATGGGTCGGATAAGGTCGGAGGGTAGAAACTGAAGGCTGGCGTGCGTTGGGTGGCGAAAACATGGAAAAAAGAGAAACCGGGAAAAAGGAAGAGCGACCGATCGTTTTTCACCGCGAACGTGGCTTATTATTGCATTTTCACGGATTACTTCTAAGCTGCTAGCAATTCGCGCTTACGTTTACGTGCGAAATCGGAACGAAGTCGATACTTAACTCTCGCTATCACAGGAGGATTTCAAATATTTTGCGTAAAAAGAATTTAACCAGAGAAACTTTTTCTCTGTGAAATTTCAAATTATAAATTCCATTGTAGGAAATCTCTTCGATTTATTATATGAAATATCTACGAGTCTGATCGAATAGTAATTGTACTGAAGACTATCTTAATCCATGTAACAGTATTTTACAATATTTCTGTTTAGTGTGAATGGATAGAGCAATCGGAGGAGCATGATTTTCTTTTAATCGAGCCAGTTGTTTAAGCGACAAAGTAGGTATAGCTACTCGGCAATCTTCCGGAAATAACGAGTCTCTTATTTCGTTAGGACGCCACTCGTTGTTCCGCGTTGCAGTTAGGTAAGTAAAACTCGTTCCGGTAGGGCTGTCACGTTCTGTAAGTCCAACAGACGTGTCCGTGACATCAAACTCGAGCGGATCGGTTCGCGGCTGGGTCAGACACCGGAGAGAAACGAGGTGTAGCGCAAAGGGAAAAAGGGTGTCCCCCCCCTTCCCTTTCCTCGTGTGCTCTCCCCACTCGAACTATTTATTCCGACACAAATCGCATTACTAACTTCAACTGCAAAATTGACTTCGTCTAACTTTTACGACGCCGCCCTTGCGTCCCTTCGCTCGGGTCAGAACTTCAACTTGTACGAGGGTTTACCAAACTCAGTTTAAGAAGAAGAAGAAGAAGAACTGTTTCAACCGGAGAGAGACGCATCTTGCGGGACTTTCTCCGTTTCGTCGTCGATATAAAATCGTAAGACGCGAGCTTCTGCTGGAACGGCAGTTCCCAAGTTCGAACCGACGAGTGTAATGAACGATATCATTGTAAATTCCTTTATCTTTATCTTTCGCGTCGCTTATTCTTATCTCAGACGTGCGAAGAGTACATACTTCCAACGTAGAACAGAGAGTCGGACTTCTCAAAGATTTTTAGAACTGCTAGATATATATAGTCTACAGAATAAAGGAAGTGAACGTAGTTACAGGAATAGGAGTAAAAAGTTGAAACGTTTAGGAATCCACTTAGCCAATTTACGAGTTCCATATTATTTAATAAAACTCCGATGTGTTGCAATCATAAATGAGCGAAACTTCCGCACATATACTAACAGGTAAATCAGATCTGTTCGCTGTAATTGCGCAATCTTTCCCACACGTATCTGTTACCGATGCAAATATTTCACAGGCTTTATTGCTTCAATAATTAAGTATTAAATTACTGACTAATCAATCATCAACTTTCAAAAGTTCTAATTCATTTCATTTATGTCGACATCGTCATTGTATGAAAGATGATATTGATAACATTTATTAGTGATTTTTACTCCATTGTCCTCGTCTGTCTCTGAATATGTGAAATTTATTAATTGGAAGTAGCATTCGTAATCCTGATTTCATTGCGTGTGGTACCTGCTTATTCATTCGTATTTAGCACTTTTTTGTTCCTCCTCAACTTTCTAGACAGATTCGTTACGCAAGGAAATGCGTGCACTAAATTATATACTTACATACGAATTTAATTGGATAATTTCGTATCGCTTTCATAGGTACATAAGAGATTATTTTTGTAAATTCTTACCTTGTCGTTTCCATGTTTAAGAACTTTTTACATTTATTAAAAAGAACATTTGCAACATAGAACAGTTATTAAAATCATAAGTCGTAGTTCTGCATCGGCATGGGAATTAAAAACACATTTGTCTTTTAACCGCGGGCAGCAAAATGATTTATGCTTCCCGCGTCGCCTTTGCAAACACAGTCGTATTACTCGGATACGGCAAACCGTGCAAAGCGATTCAGGGAATCGAAATCGGGAAGAGGCGGCGGATAAAAAATTAGGTGCTGTCTGCCGTGAAAAGCGTGCAGATTATGAGCGTATTGCGTGATCCGTAGGTACGTAACGGTTGGAAAATAGTTTCGACGCGCCAAGGTTCTCGTTATCCGCGAGGCGTGAGATCGTGCGAATTTGCACTGCGGTTTTGATGTAATGGTTCACGGACGACTATATATAAAAATTTCCTTGTAAATAACGCGCAGTGTCCGCCAAACTATTAGCACACTCATCAACGAAAAAAAAACAATTGAAACGAGAATTTCTATTACATTATCCAAGTAAAGAAATGACACAGATATTAAAACGTAACGTGATGTACATAAGCACTTTATTATCTCTAATATGAAATTTCTACAAAAATGTTGAATAGTGTAGGAGTCGAAATTAAAAGGCAACAGTTAAAATTGTTAGAAGTCTGGGGATCACGTAATCGAAGGTACTTAGCTCGCAACGAAGATGTTGAACTGGAATGCAAATGCGTTTAATGAGTTTCGCCGTGCTCGAGAATCCGCACGAAAATAGTTCGGGCTCTATTTCAGGTGGGCGTGCACCGTTTCCAAATAGTTGATCCACTTCCCGGTCACGCAGCGGTTAATGCGTTCATGACCACATTCGGTGAACATTCGTTATTGACGTCTCGACGCGCACACAGCCAACGCTTCTGATTAAACGTGTCTATATCCATATTAAAAGCACAAAAAAAGTTCACGGGCTCTTTTATCGCAGCGATTAAATCTTTTTAATATCTCGACAGTTCGTTGAATTCTAATAATCTCATTGCTTTATAGTTTGAAAAATTCCCAAGCAGGATTTATATAGTTCTTAAATATTTCGTCTTGTTTATTACTTTGCCTTCAGGCTTTCGTAATACTAATTTGAAATACTGGTTTCATTGCGATTATAATATTAATATCCTCATTGAATACCTGCTTGAATAACATTAACTGAGGTGTTATTACAAAATGCATAATAATCAGATTGAATTCAGTATGCAGAAACAGTTGGAAAACAACGAATTCCCGTTGGTAATATAAATCTGATTTTCTCGAACATCCGTCAATCAGAGTAACGTATGAAAATAATTATACCGGAGGGCGCGTTCCGTTCAGTGCGAAACCGGTTCAAGGTGAGTCGGTGGACTGCCGGTCTCGAGAACGGGGAAAGTGGTGGGGCTACCAGTGGTAGTAATGCCACTGTCAAGAATTCTGTGTCGTTTTCTGTAGCAGTGTAACTCGAATCGCGAGACCAATCGCGAGTCTGCAAATCTTCGCTCGCGCGCTACGTTTAATCATACTTCTGTGACACGACCAAAGAGCTTTTTGCGAATCACGTGATGGTACAACTTTCGAGTTTCGTTTTTACCCTCGGGTTACTGGCCTGTGCCAACGGAGCTGTCCTCGAAGTCGCCTACCAATGGAAATATTTAGACTGGCTATGGCCAAACGTTCAGTTGACCGGGAGAAATTATACGTTCGGCAACGCGTTCACACAAGACGTGGACATCGACAGATACGGTCGTATCTTCGTGACGAGTCCTCAGTGGCTGAACGGTACACCGATTAGCTTGTCGTTGGTAACGGACGTCGTTGGTTCCGGTGGTCCTTTGCTAATACCATACCCCGATTGGTCCTGGCACACGGCGCACACTTGCGACAGCATAATATCTGTGTACAGGTTGGCGGTAAATATCGTGATAATAAATTACACGTTATGGTTGACCGTGTTTGAGATATTCTAGTTTTCATTGCGGGGGGGGTTCTCGCTAAATGTATTTAAGGATCAGAAAATACGGTAACATGGGCATTAAAAGAAACCGATTGTTCAGATAGATGAATGCAATCGATTGTGGGTGGTGGATACCGGTCACATCGGTAGAGAGGCCGTTTGTCCAACGAAAATATTGATCTTCGATCTCAGCACCGACCGGCTGGTCCATAAATATGTGGTACCGGATGATCAAGTGCTGTACGGAAAAGCGGCATTAGTTACGCCGATCGTCGACGTCGGAAAAACGTGCCTCGATACTTATCTGTACGTGGCGGACGTGGATCAAAATGGCCTACTGATTTACGACTTGTACCACGATTATTCGTGGCGAGTGAACAACACGCGCGGCAACGCTTTCGGGCCGGACGACGATGCGATGTACATCACCATCGCAGGCGAGATGTTCGATTTGACCGATGGCACTCTCGGAATGTCACTGTCACCGATCGGATTTTTTGATGAAAGGTATCCACGCCATTTCTACTGCTCTTTACAACGTAAAGAGGATTATGTCCGTTTTCCAAGTTTCGAGCTCGATTTTTCAGGAGCATTGATCGCGAAAGTCGGGTACATAGAATATACGTGAAAATCAGAAACAGTTGCACGATGAAATAATTTCCAGATACCTGTACTTCAATTCGCTGGCCAGCTTCTTACAGAAGTTTACCGATACGTACTCCTTAAAGCAGAGCAAATACATCGAGCCGATCGTGTTCGAATCGAATTATAAGCGGGCGAGCCAAGCCGGCGTGCAGGCTACGTCGCGGAGGGGCATAATATTTTTCCAATTAGTCCAATTAACGGCGGTCGCCTGTTGGAACATTGAGAAACCGTTTGCACCGGAGTACATCGTGACAATTGCTCAAGACGAGGAGAAGCTGCAGTACGTGAGCGGCATCAAAGTAATTGTAAACAGACTGGGGGAGGAAGAACTGTGGTTCAACACGAACCGGCTGCAAAAGACAATTAATATGACCCGTACACCCACCGAAACGAACTTCCGTTTAATCAGAGGGAAAGTTGACGATATTATCAGGGGGACGAATTGCGAGCCTTCTGGCGTAAGGCGTAGAATCCCGGATACCAGCTTCTGGCACCGGATATAAATCAGATAAATTGCGTTACCCTAACCGAAATTAATCTTCGACAGCTTCGCTGTATATATTCTTACCTGAAGCTGTAGAATAATAAAAATGATGTTCCTTAGTTGCAAAGGGACGCTCGAACCGTGTGTTCGAATAAGATAATTTATCTCTGTCATCTATAGATGTTACATTCAAGTATTCCTCCTTTAATACGATAATCAATAAATCATTCACTCCGCAGATAGAGTACAGAATAAGATCTATCAAAGAATTTTCATTTAGTTAAAATATCAGTCACCCGATCAAAATCGTTTGTCACCCCCTTGGAACTTTATTAACTATCCCGATTTTTCTGTCGAAGACACGGAGCGGAGTGATTACTAAACGCGGAGTGTCGGCCACCCCGAAGGGAGCATAAGCCACGAGAGTGGGTGGAACAAGACCTGTGAGTGACAGTTAGTGTAGCAATTTAGCTAACCGTTTCATTGCTGCCTTTTGAGATGTAGCGACGAGGTCTGTCCGTGACAGGGGCGTCACTGGGTACCCGAATTGTTTCGACGGAACAGTTCGTTCACGGGCGACGGCGACGCAGGGGCAAAGATGTATGGCGTGCGATACAGCCACGGAGTTTTTCCGTGGACAAGAAAATCGATACCGTGCCCTTTTCCTCGGCGACGATTTCAGGAAATTTTATCAGCCTCTTAGTCGGCGCAAGCTCGATGCAGAAGACGTAGCGTAGGCGTAGAAGTCGAGGCCGCGGGACGGGAGGGAGGGGGGTACCGGATTGGTTGAGATAAATGCGCATTCACGAGGAATTGTTCGCGTTACTGCCGCGGCACCCTTGGGATACCAATAGGGCGCGCAATGCCGGGAAATTCGTGTCACCTACTTCTCTTTCTACGGCGCAGTTCGGCGTGTGACTAATGGCAGCATATTCATGGCATAGCCTCGCCTCTCCGGCACCCCTCGACACCGACCGCCCGATTCCCTCCTTCTCACACACACACACACACACATATACACACACACACACGTGCTTTGCGACGCTCTGGCAGTTAACCTCAGACAACCCCTTCGTCGCGATAATATACGGCTGCCCTTAAATTTTCGTTCCCCTTCGATGCTTCCCTTCCTCGACCCACTCTACGGCACGTGTGCTGGAAAATTTTCTCCTACCCTCTGTTTTTCCTTGATACCAGATTTACCTCGTGCTCGTAGCATTCGAAATGGTCGTCTATCAAAATCAAACGTTTCTCTCGTGAAATCGTAATTCGCCGAATATTTGGTTTTGTTAATAAACAAGGGACTCGGAGAATAAACTGTTTTACGTTGGACGTAAAGTGGGGGCGATAACAATGTCCGTAAAATCCCGACGCGACGCGGCGTTTAATGTCCGTTTTACACGTTTTCGTAAAGCAGAGGGAATCTATGGTGTCGTTCGACGCGGCGCCGTTATATTTAAGTATTATGAAATATTGAGGAGCGGCCGGGGAACTCGGGCAAACGAAACGATCCGCGCGTGAGCACGTTTCCACGATCGAACTCGTTACCTTCTTAAGAGTGAGGCGTGGAATTACTTAAGAGGTGATAGGCGTCGCGACGCGTCGTCCCACCGCGTAAGACGACCCTTCAACCGGCCCGGGGAAGCCGTCTGAAATCTTTTTACGAGGGTAGTTTTGAAACGAGTTTCCTCGGGAGCTGCGGCGGAATTTCGAAATAAATTTACATCAGTTTTACTGCCCCTAATATACATAACTACCAGTGTTTGGCACTGATATTCAAGCGTGCAATCACTGTTAGTGTGACCGCGCGACGAGACTTTCCCCGATGCAACGCCTCTCAGGAAAGGAAGCACGACCGCTTTAAAATCTCTTTACGACCGGGCCGAACTCGTGCGTTACGGCTTGTTCATTTCTCGAAGAAACGCGATTACGCAAATCGCTTATTCACAATCGCGCAATACCACCGGAGCGAAATGAACACGTGATTGCGTAAAAAATTTTAATGCGAACACGCGGAATCTGGGTTTCGAAAGAGACCTTGCTTAAGATCGTCGTTGTCCAATTAACCGTGATGAAAAACGGAAAGGGGGTTAACGCTGTACATCGTTAAACTCGTCGTTTGCCGGAATGAAATTTTAAACTTTAATCGTGAGATTTGACCGCTTATTTCATGCCCGCGGCTCCTCCGTGACACGGCCAAGGAGTAAATTGCTTTGTTTTTCAACGAATTCCCGTCCGCTCTCCGCGATGGTATTCGGAATGAGAATACGCCGCCAGAGAGAAGATGCCCGCGCGCGTACTCGCGTTCTCTCACGCAGCTAACGGCCGACTGGCCAGCCAACGAACTCACGTGGTATCCGTTTGCAATTCGAAGGAACGTCGGGGTTCCTGTGGCGATGGAACGTCGGGAGAATTTCGGGCATCTCTCGTGTCTTTATTAAGGCCGCTCATCTATAATTCACCGGGCGACGGTGCGGCACAGGGGCAGGCTGACAGTGCCGGACTCACCGGGCGCATAAACACACCTCGCGTCTCTCCGGGTGCGGAGATCCCCGTTGCTGGACGCCCGGTCCGGCCCGACGGCCGGTGTGCGGCACGCATTGCGGTTGTCAGCTCTAGTCAACGTGTAATTTACTATCCTGTCTCGGTTCGATGCAGATGCGCCCGTTGGTTGCTCGTGAACCCGGACCACCAAGTACCGTCTGCCGGGCTGAAACGCCGGCGCTAATGGCTGCGAGAACGCGAACATCGGCCGCACACCGCTGCTGTTGCCGTATTGCCGCCGTTGTTGCCGTCGCCGTTGCCGGTTACGATTCGAGTGGACGATACCACTGCCGTGCCGTGCCGCCCCCAGTTCCCAGGTACCTACCACTGACCACTCGGAACCAGGTCACCGCAAGGCACCCATAAACTAAGTGCTCCGTCCTGCTCAACGTTTCGCAATTAGTTCAAAGAGAAGTTTGCTCTGCGTTTAGGGTAGGCTTGTCCACCGGCCCAGAATGACTTCGTTCGTTCTGTTAAAGGATGTCTTGTATTTTGTCTTCGCGAACGAGGAAGATCAAAAACGTCTCCCTTGAATAAATATATTTCAACTCGTTTAAAGTATAAACTTGTTTAGCTTGCGATTGCTCTTCCTCGGCAGAGGTTACTTTTATTACAGGCCTCTCTCTCTCTCTCTCTCTTTTTCTCTCAATGCGCTCTGGTACGCTTAAAGGTATTTTATGATAGTTATAAATAGAACCGGCGTGCGTTTCCGACAAGAATGCATCGTTGATGCAACGGCATACCGGAGAAAGTACCGCGGTTATATAATTACGCTTGTTAGCTACACGATTGATTCACTGATCCGACGATGTTAATGCGGCACGAATCGCTTGGGAGACAACGTGCGTACGTTAACAAGGTTCGATTTCAAAGTTAATTGTTTACCATCGAATCGGGTACTATTGATTCTTGATACACCAGGAAATACTAGACGTTCATTGCGCCGATGTAACCTCATCCAATTATCGATGAAGGAATGTTTGGATAATTAGCGACCGGTTGGTTATTGTGGCGCGCGTGACTGAAATACTATTGGTTTCTCATATTAAATATATTTCATTATGCATATAAAACTACGTATACGCGAACTCTGTGCAGTCTGCGGAAAATGAACTAATGATAATTATTTGAACTAAACGTATTTCAATCCGTCCAATGATAATTAAAATTCTACGCGAAGGATATATTGTAATATCCTAAAAAGTACACGTCGCGTGAAACGTGAACAAGTTCATCTAATTCGGCATCTCTCAATTTGCAGGTTCGTAACCTTGTTTCTGAGAAGTATAAATACAAATCGTGTCACAGACACCCGGACCGTTTCTTTGCCGCGCTACCGGGGACGTGCACACAGCCACACGTGCTTTCGAGCTTTTCGTCTCTTCGCGCTGTTTGTCTATCCAACTTTCCATCCATCTGTTCCGCCCTCGCCACACCTCGTCCCCGACCCACACCCAGTTTTTTAAACCCCCCCCCCCCCCCTCGTACCCGACTGGTATGCAACGCGCTCGGTTGAAATGTCGTATGCTTTGCGAACTGGCCCCTTACATTCGTAACCGTTCGTTATCGTTAGTTCCGCTTGGCGAGGCGCGTTCACAGCGTAAACACATACGTACACGTAGGTAAGCATGCTGGATTCGAAGGTGGAAACGGGAGAAAGATGGGGCGAGGGACGTGTCCGGGCGAGCGAGAGAGCAGAGAAACTGACAGGGCGCACCGGCTAGGTTTGAGAGCGCATTTCGGAGGAAGGTGTGGCCGTTTCGACTTCTCCCATTCGTTACCTTTGCAGCGAGCGCACGGACGTGCGAGCGCGCCGAGTCATGTTTACGAGCGCAAATAACGGTGCAACCCGCAAACTTTTTGTTGCCGTTTCCTCTCCACCTTTTTCCACGGTTCCACACGCGCGCCGTCCGCGCGGTATCACGATGCTTCGGTAATCGCGACACGTATGTAAATACACACGCGTAGATCCGCGCGAATACGTGCGCGCGCGTACCGTATTTGCACACGTCGGCACCGTCGTTACACAATTTACAGACGCTGACGTTTTCACTTTTCCTCGCCGAGACATCGGATTCAACTGATCTTTACTTTTAAACCAGCGAACCTGTTTCCCTTCCGTTCAACCGCGGTTTGATTACTCTTCATTAATATCCGGAGAGCCTCTCTTAGAACTTACATCCGTTTGGTAGTCTCGTTTGTTGTAAAAAATTTCAACGCTTCGTTAAACGGCGTTAAAGGAATTGATCCGACCGTTTTCATTCCTCGTTTAGCCAATATGTTCATCCTTGTTTATTGTAGTTGTTAAAAGCTAATGAAAGTTGCTGACGTGGTTCGACCTGTGACCTACATAAGGGTACATACACTGTCGCATAGTGCCGTGTTGTAGAATCGTATAGGTCTACATATACTACATATATCGCACAAGGCATTCAATTTCGCTTAAATTAAATGAATCTATCATACTTTAACACGTTGAATGCCACGGAGGTCACCGGTGACCGGCACTCAACTTGGCAGTGACGCCATGGACAATTCCTGTAAAATTAGCGTGGCATTCAACGTGTTAAACTTTAGACCGAAATCTCAATAGAAATAACGTCGTCGTTTTACAAGATTTATTATCAACAAGTGGATGTATAAATTGATTTATTAATTTCAATTGATAATATTCTCAGGAAACATTTGACAATAAGAATGCAAATATGATTTATGATGAAGTCAAGCGGAGATTCCAGGAGTAATAGTGGTCGGTTGGATGCATGGGTGCAATCAGCACGATTATAACCAGTATTTTCGCGTGAATCCTCGTTGCGCTGGTCTTCCCCGCATAATTCCCTGGAGTACCATTCGCGACGAGGACCGAGCGACGCGATAGATGACACGTAGATGCATCGTGGATGACGTATTTCGTGTTATTTATTTCGGACAACGGTGATCGGCGCGGCTAGCGAAATAGAAATGAGGCCGTGGCCCGTGAATATTCACGCTTTCGGTTTTTGAGTCCGCCGCGACCATCAATCGTGGGGATACCGAGTCGGCGTGGCGCGGAGCGGCGTGATTAATTTTGCCGAACCTCTCGGCAGCCCGGGTGAAATGCGCCGCAATTCCTGTCGATCACGAAATACGTCTCTTGTCAATCGCTACTTCATTGAATATGCTTAATAGCGGACAGTCATCGTCAGCGATTGATTGTCCACGGTCCCCGATATTATTCGACGTCCCGACGATTTTTGTTTCGCGTCCGCGGGATCTACATTTGAATATTAACGTTGTACAAAAGTGGCATTTAATTAATTCAGCGAAATTGCGTACTCTGAATTATTCATACAATTTCGAAATATGAATTAAATCGCAACGGTATGAATAATGTACTACTTGGAATAATGTAAAATTATTTATTTACACGAAGGTGAACGTCTCGTAGAGGCCATTCATTTATTCAAACTCGTAACGTGCGATTAGCTGAGCTAGTATAAAATGACACGTGCATGATATTTTTTATCAGGCATTTATTTATAACGATTCTCGAAGAATTTCAACAACAATTTGAGAAAGGTTCCTCTTTCTTGCTTCAAAAGAAAATAGAATTTCAACTATGAAATTATTATCGTAAACTATAAAGAAACGACGATTCATTATCGAACACAGAACTCGGAATCTACTATTTCCTCTACATTATAATCTACTTTTTATCACTTCGTTCTGTAATCGATGGAATCCATTGTAAAACATACGTAGAATGAAGAGCGCTGCGAATGTAGGTGACAGTTAGAAACTTTCCGAATGACTGATTTCAGGATGCGCACGGCATTGAGTTCGTCACGTTATAATGTTTGTCTTTCTCTCACCTGTTCGCCCCCCTCGATTCTCTTTATCTATCGTCCCTCCACTGTCCGCCTTTTTTCTCTCACTTTGACCGTAATACTTCCGTTTCCATCCATTCGCGACGTCGTTCCAGTGCAAATTCCATTTTTTTTTTTTTGGTTCGTGCCTCGAAAATAATACGGCACTCTCCCCTTGCACACGCATCCTATTTATTTCCGCAGGTACGAATACCGAAAAGAAGGAAATAATGATTTTAATAATACTAGGAGCGGCCGGCGCGTGAATTTTCCTCGATTACATCGGTTCCCATTGTTTCAAAAAGGACTCGTTCAACATACGAGGACCATTAAATAAAATTTCACCGCGTTTGCCCGCGAGCGCACACAGCGCGGCGGGATAAAAAGCGCCCCGTCCATCGGGACGATCCATTTCCATTTCAACCTTCCGATACTAAATGCATTTTACTCTCCATCGGAATTCCAGTGATTTGTTTCACCCAAAAGTATTCGAGCCGCATATTTAATTATTCGCACGGATTGCTTGTAACGTCATTTCCAATATGCGCGCGCTATTTCTTCCTCTTTTTTTTTTTTTTTTTTTACATCGGCAATATGTAAACGCGCATATTGATTCCCCGCCGACACGGATGGTCCGGTGAAATTGTTGATTCGTTAGTAATCCGATCTTTATTAAAATGCCAACAGAGTTCTCGGTCGGGCAAAAAATTTATTCCGTCCGCGAATTTTATTATGTACCCGAATTATTCCCGCGCGCGCCCTTCCCGTCGCGTGTAAACCCGGCTGTTGGTTTTGTAACGTTACCGTGGCATCTATTTTTTACGTTTCGTCGGAATTGCCGATATTTTTAACGACGCTACGGCACGTCTATGTATTAATGGGACGCTCGAAGCTCAGTTTCTGCCGTTCTGTCATGTCCCCGGTTCGATGAAAGTTCAACGAATTGTATAGTTTCTCGTAAACTAAAGGCTTTTAGGGTTAAGCAAACCTCACGTTTTCCATTTACCGGGACAGAGCATATGCCACAATTCCCACGAGCTCCACTCTTTCACGTCACATGCCTCGTTTCTTTCTTACCGTTCCCCTAGTCGCTTGTTTAACGGAATAATACTTCTGCACGCCGCGCAGCAGCAGCAGCCTGTTTCTTTTTTTCTTTATCGGCCTGCAATCGTCGCCCACCTCGCTCGCCAACTTCTGTCCTCTCATAAACCCACGCGGCACTCGTACTCGGCGTTTCGCAACTACATTAATTGCAACCTGTTCGTCGAGTGTGTTTCTCTACTTCCCGTTTCCTGAACGCTCGCCGGGAGCCACTCGGTGCTTAGAAAATCGCTTCGGAACTTAGTCACGGATCGGAATCGGTTTTTATCACAGGCGACCGATGCCGCGTCTAAGAAAACTCGCGTCAGCCCTGTTTCCGGACACGGAGACGATGATGTCTCCGACCGAAAAATATAAGAGCGACCAAAGTGTACGAGAAAGAGCGGAAGAGAGAGAGAGAGAGAGAGAGAGATATGGTTCGAGGTGGGAGAGGAAGTTGCTGGACCATGTCGACTGGTTCCCAAGCCTGCCGAAGTGGACCTATCGACTCGAAACGAGTGTGCTCGACGTTGAAATCCCGGTCGCTGCTCCCGTTTCTCAGCATCCATCCCCCTGTTCCTGTTCCCTCTTCCCCCATCGTCATCGCTCTCTTGCTTTCCATCTCTCTGGCCGTCGATCCCTCTGTCCGTCCTTTTCCCTGGTCCGTTCATTCGTCCGTTCGTTTGTATCGAACGTAAACGATGCAGCGACGAAGGGAGGGAGGGAGGTAGGGAACGGGGGTGGACACGGTCCAGCAAATCCGAAATCCCCTTTTCCTCGATATAAAGCTTTACCCCTTTTTTCGGCTTCGTCCTTCCGTCGACTTCGCGCCAATACTTTCTGCGAACAAACCAGCCGGCACAAGTATCGAGCCACCGGGTGAAGTCGACTTATATACGTATGTATAATACGTATTTCAAAGATTCCGGGGAACACTCGGAGAACCGAACGAACGAACCTCCGCCCGCCCGGCGATGACTAACCGCGCGTCGACATTGTTACATGGAAGAGCAATATTTCGTCCGGAACGTCGAACTGCAGCGATGCGTGCCGACTATTATCAATTACCTATTTCGCTTGATAATTACCGCTGCGCTGCGTCCCGGGTGATTAATGGAGCGAGTATCAGAGGAAAAAAAGGAATTGTTCCGTTCACCGATCGCTCGTTTCGAACACGCGCGATCGCAAAAAGAGTGGTAACGTTTCGGTGGCTCTGTCTGTGAAAACGTCATTTTGAAGCCACTCCGGTTGATCGAGCCAGAAATTGAATAAAGCGTTGTCGGCAAGCTATGTTTCATTTCAGTTCGTTCCACGAGCTCCCATTGAAAACTTTTATACAAGCCGATAACGCTCGCCCGAAAAGTAAATGGGACATGCCTACGTCTATATTATGCGAGGCTCGTGTCGCTCGCGTTGACTCGACGAAGAATTCGTTGCGCGCGATCATCTGGCAATTTTCAGGATTCCGTGGAAACCAGCTTTTATGTCCCCTGTTAATTTCCAACGCGCTATGACGCGCTTGAATTCGATTTAAAGTTGAGTCGACAATTAAAGCGGCGATGTAATTGTAAGTTTAACGTGTAACAGATCGCGTCGAAAGACCGTGTAACTACACCTATGTACGTGATCAGAAAGTTTAGATAATGGCGCGACGAGATAGTCGATAGGGTTGGCGTGATTCCGCACGGAAGTGACAATATTATTCTGTTTCAGGGTGTGACGGGCGACCGGCTGGCCGGGGGCGCCGCACACCTCCTCCATCTCTTCTTCTTCTTGCCACGACCACAACACACAATGTAACAACAACTACCACTACTAGAGTCGTCCACGTTCTCAATGTACTCGATGTGGTACGTCACCATACCCCTAATCGGTGTCTCTGGAGATATGTCAATATCCTTGTTAAGTTTTAAGTTTAACGTGTCTCACATAATTTACGTTCACCTGCCTCACCACTTAGTGCCTCCTCTCAATGTCTTTGTTCCTTGTTTCTTTTGTTTCATTTAAATCAGAGTCTCGTGTCATGACCCACGGAAGATGGTACACCCTCACTGTTCTTGCTGTTGGCCACGCACGTGTGCGACGACGACGAGAGCAATAACGAGTATTTTTCGTTTCGCGGGCACGGGAACTAGTCATCGGTTTCGGATGCGGCCGCGCGTACGTTTTTGCATCGCTCCGGGAAGGTTCCACGGTCCGATTATAATTACCGTGCTCTTCCATTATCTGGCAGCTACGTACACGCCGTGGAAAAGCGAATTTTCGTTTCGGTCTGTACGCCCGCGTTCGGTTCTCCTTAATTAAACTGGCCCGGCGAATTTTAGTTTTCATGCAAATTGCGATTTAATTAAATTCGCACATCGCATCTATTTTCACTGTTTTTAAACACCGCGACCGATCGAGTTATGCCGGTCGAAAATAATTTTCAATTCGACGACCGGCGTTCCCTGATTTTCTAACGATCGAAACGCTCTTCGCGCACACGTGCGTATTTTACACATCAGTCAACATTATGTATACATTCTATATATATTTGCATACATATGTGTATATGTATGTGTATATGTATATACGGTATATGTACATATATTATATATTAATATACATGTATCCGCTGTGAGTTCTGTTACAATGTGACTTGTGGTTGGTTTAGTTTCGTTGGTTTATCGGTGTTCGATGTTGGCTGCTATTGTTGGTTGTTAGGTGTTTAGTGGTCACTCTGTGTTGGTACTCACCCTATCGGCTCCTTCCTCTTGTACCCGCAACACCGACAACCCTCTGCACCCTCTTGCTCCCGCAGCCCGGATCCCGAACTTGATGTTAGAAGTTACAACGTCAAGCTTGTCTCCCGCCGCGAACAACTCCGCTCGATCCGGCCGACGCGCCGACAAAAAAGTGTTACCGAACACAATTACAGAACGTACGGTAAGGTGCAATTTTATTCGACATTGTCAGACAGCATGCTGTTTTTAAATGTATAACGAGGATAATATATATTATATCTAATAATTGGAACAAGTGTCGCATGATAAGAATCCTCGTATCGATGTGTATTAACGGCTACCATGATATTGTATTTAAAAAAAAAAAAAGTATATATTTGCTACTGATGGATATATGATGATCTCGGTTTTTAAACAGGACTGTAATATTATATTCTTCCCGTTTTGGATTGTATTCGGTGGAAAGTAAAATATCACTCGCGTGAGAGCCAAGAATTCACGGGAACTGCTGTAGAAAATTGATAAAAACCGAAGGAGGAGGCACGTATCGCCTCGTTGTGGAATTTAAATATTTTTGAAGAACGAATACGAGACCTAATGATCTTTATGCAGTGCGCGTACGAGACTCCCTCGCGGAATACCATTTCTAGACCTGGGAACGGTCCGCACGAAAATTGCTGATATTCGATTAGAAGGAATTCTCACAATTCTCAGAGCGCGATGTAAATGTCGTTTAATTATAAAACGTTTTTATTCGGTTGGATGTTAATTATTGAACGGAGCCGATAAATCAGTGTACACGCATAAACGAGCGCGGTTTACGCGGTAAATATCGATACTACGTTGCCTTTTTTTCCACCAGTACTGCTAATTAAGTTTCGCAGATAGGGGTGGGTTATTACCACAGATTTAATGGGTTTGGGAAACGATTGGTGTTTACGATCAGGAGGTAGGGGCGGATCTGCGGTCGAATTGCTTGAATTCTTAATAAGAACTGACCGAAAAAACGGAAGAACGCTGCCGTTTGCGACTTTGCGGGTAAAACAATCACGCCGGCAGATAACAGGCGTGAAAAAAAATAGATACCTGCGTTCTTTTAATTGGACCAGCATTATTTATTTAAAACTGATATTAATTAATGAAAGATTCACGAAATCAACGCAAGTACTCGTTTCACTTTATACAATTAATATCTTATAATTATTCGATCAAAATAATGATAATATTATTTTAATAATATGAAAAGAAAATCAATAGATTTAAATACAGGGTGTAATCTTTTTTAATGAATTCGGATCTCTCACAGTTTGACACTATTCTTGTATCCGTGTCAAAACTTGTTCGGTATCATTTACGTGCGTTTAAGTCTAATCGCGGAAAACCGTGGTCTCGATCCGCGTTCCAATTCCATCGGAAATGTCGAACGACATTTTACCCTATCGAATTTGTTGGGAACGGCGGCGACGCGGTCGGGGAGAAGAGAGGACGGAACGTTCAGCTCGAAGAAACGTTCCTCTGACTTCGGCATGTGTATGTGAGAACGGAGGTACAGATAGATCGAGGGAACATTTATTTGCTGGCAGGAATCCTTCGCAGTTTTTCAGCTAGACTTGCTGGTGCGCGCGGAGTTTTGCAAAGGCTATTCGATTTCAAACCCATTCGGACAATATTAAAAGGTAATTGGATTTCGACCTGGGCTAGTTGTTGCCAATGCGCCTGCTGCCTCTGTTCGATCCCGGGGTGGCGGCGGCGGAGGAGCCCGGGGATGGGGACAGAAAATTGGTGTAAACTTGTAAAGGGTGTCGGATCGGTAGAAAGTGGAGGATAACAGCCGGGGACTCTGTACAACGCCTGCGCGTTCATACCGGAATAATGGATAGTCGTTAAATTTAATTAGCACATAATTATTAGGAGTCCCGACGCGACACCGGCCAGATCAGCGAACGCTGCCCCGATCTCTCGTTGTCCTGGTTTTAATATCGAGGAGCCTCGATTGCGAAGGGCCGATACGCCGCTGTCCACTCAGTATTTCATCTGTCGATAGCCTTCCAACTTGCGGTTTTTATTAATTAAATCTGGTAACGATCGGATCGACCCTAGCCCAAGTTTCGCTTCAACCTCTCTTCCCACATTCTCTGCTTTAAAAAGTATCACGATGATCCGTGTTTGAAATTTATTAGTAAAAAGTAAAGTAAAAGAACGCGATTCAGCTCGTCGCAAAATAGTAACGTCTAATTTCGTTTCCATGTTCGATGTCTCATGAGGAAACGCCGAGACTCGCCGTGGAGGAATCTGAATAATACAACGATCACGCATAGCAGGAGGGAAAATAGCAGCTAGCAAAGCGGGGTTGAAACGCGTCAGGAGAATCGTAGAGAGAACGTGGATAAAAATCTATGAACGTCTTGCGGACGTTGTGTATTACGTATAGATCTCTGGGGATGATCGTCGTGAGACTCGCGCGGCGAGAAGGTGGACGTTTAAAACGCATGAACGTACGACCGGCCGGGCAAATTAATTTATGAATCAATTAGGGGAGTCGCGTTTAGATAGGGTTATCGATGCGCGGAGTAGTAGCCAGGCAGAGAGGAGCTCGAACGGCGAGGGAGCTGTGATATCGTACGTAACTACAATATCGGCGCGTTACCAATAAATAAGCCTACCGATACCATCTTTCATTTCGATAATTATTATTCGGCGCGGGTGTTAATTAATTAAGCGGCAGGCAGGAACACGGACAGGCTCTAGTAACAGTTAGCCCTGGATGGCACACGGAATGGCGCGCTCGAATGGAGGACCGAGGGTACACGCGTGTGCACACCGGTGTGCCATGATCGCACCAGGTGATAACTCCTCGGGCTCTCCGGCTAATTACCGGATGAAAGAGCTATCTGGCGACTGTCGTCAAAGCCCCCGGTGAAACCCGGTAAATGCACCTGCCGCGACACCCCATTGTGATATTTTAGCGCTCGCCGCGGTTTCTAAAGCGTCCCGGCCGCGGTTTTCGTTGTATCTAATTTTCATTTCGCGTTCCCAGTCACCCGGCTCGGGCACGAGCAAACGTTCATTCAAGAAATATCTTCCATCCAAATTCTACGCGTTTGATACGTACCGGAATCTACGAAGAATTCCTTGAACGACTGACTACTTTCAATTATTGAGAACGACTGTACGTAGAGAAAGAACTGAGTCATTCGTCTCTTTTAGTAATCAGATTCGAAGAAATTTGTTTGCGGAAAAGTCTAGGTAGTACGATAATATCGTGATATCGTATCTCACGGAGAATATGGATTCCGTCCGGATAAATGGACGATGGAAAATTTAGTGGCCAGCGTTCGTCCGAATTATCTTTCCTTATCCGCATGGAACTTTTGTAACAGGCGAAGCGTGCGTGACATTGGCGAGGAGTAAAATGTCAGGAGTACCAAAGTCCGTGCTATTCGGACGGAAGCCAACAGAGGGGGGGTCGGTATAATTTATTAATTTAATGCGTGTCTTTTTGGGTCAGAATCCGTATCTGGGTGAGAGAACGTTGGCATTTTTCCCGGGCGACAGGAAAAAATAATATCCCCCCCTTTTTACTCATGTCACTTCGCTGTACAAAGGATGTGTACAGGGAACCATGCGACAAGCAAATGAAAAACGTAATCACGTTTAGTTACTGACCAAGAATCATGGAATGGGTAGCCATTCGTTATGAAACAATGATGTTCCACGCATCAAAGAATAAAATTAAATTCAACGAGAATTTTATAGAATTACAATGTAATTCACTAAACTTCCAAGAAGAAATTTACTTTCCCCGTTGTTCGCCTACATTTTTCTCTACAAATATAGTAACTAAATCAGTGCGAAAGAACGAGGAAATGAAAAGATTGATTAGCTGCGAGTAACAGATTCAATGAGCAAGAAAAGTTCCTCTGGGAATAGTCGGTATATGGACGGTAGAAATCGTAACATATATGGCAAAGCTAGTTTCTCCTGCTAGGTTTGTTAGATAATCTATTCCAAGCAAAGAAATAATCTTCCGTTATAAATTCATTATTTCTCTCACTATTTTATTATTATAAATTCTGTTTCATAAAATATACAACATTTCGATGAAAATTAATTTGATCATGCCACTG